TTTTTCCAAAGTTCTGCTTGTTAAAAGAGTTTTCTCGGTTAGAAAGCCCTGCAATTGAGCAGCCCCTGGAAATTATGCAGAGGGGGGAATGCTTTAGCCAAAGATCCCCTCAGAGGAATCAGGGGAGACTCTCCAAATGCTCCGAGTGTGGGAAATCCTTTGCTCACCGGTCCCTCTTTTTGATCCACCGGAAGCTGCACACGGGGGATGGATCCCATCTGTGTTTTCTTTGTGGGAACTCCTTTCCTGGAACGTGGAGCTTTGCCAAACATCTCAGGAGCCACCCTGGACTGAGGCCTTACAAATGTGGAGAGTGCGGGATGCGTTTTGCTAAAGGCTCGGACCTTGGAGCCCATCAGTGGATCCACCAGGGAAAGAGATCTCAGGAATCCTGGAAGCGCTGGGGAAGATTTCCCAGCAGATGGTGTCTTTCTAGGCCTCGGAAGAGCCCAACTAAAGAGAAGCCCTGCAAGTGTATGCAATGTGGGCAGCGCTTTCCTCACAAACCAGAGCTGCTTAAACATCAACAAATCCACACCGGAGAGAAACCTTATCAATGTGTGGAGTGTGGGGAATCTTTCCGTTATAAACATTTTTTAAAAAAACATGAGAAAATTCACACAGGACAGAATCCTTATAAATGCTTTGTGTGTGGAAAATGTTTTACTCGCAGTTCATCTCTTTGCAGACATAAAAAAATACATACAAAGGAGGAAAGCAGACCGTGCCTAGAATGTGGGAAATGTTTCTCCAGCAAGTCACACTTGCTACAACATCAGAGAATTCACACTGGGGAAAGACCCCATCAATGCCCAGAATGCGATAAGCGATATCTGACTGCTTTCGAACTTCGGAGACACCAAAGGAGGCACACGGGAGAAAAACTCTATAAATGTGAGGTTTGTGGGAAAAGCTTTTTTGAAAAGTCAGCTCTTTTTCAACATCAGACAATCCACACAGGAGAGAAGCCCTATCAGTGCATCGAGTGTGGAAAATTTTTTCGTTTGATATCAAGCCTCAGACTTCATGAGAATGTTCACAGAGGAGAAAAAAAATTCAGATGTTTAGACTGTGGGAGAGAATTTGCTCATTCATTCCAATTTAGACGTCACTGCCAAATACATACAGGAGAGAAACTCTATAAATGCTCGGAGTGTGAGAAATCTTTTCGTTGGAAACAATATCTTACAGAACACCAGTGGATTCACACAGGAGAGAAGCCATACAAGTGTGTGCAGTGTGGAAAGAGCTTTACTCGCAACACCCAGCTTTCGATCCATGTAAAGCTTCACACAGGCATAAAACACAAAGTGCAAAAAAAGGAAAAGTGTCCAGAATGTGGGAGATGTTTTTCCAGAAAGGCACACCTCATTCGACATCAGAGGCTTCACACCGGAGACAGACCCTATCAATGCCCAGAATGTGAGAAACGGTTTGTGGAGTCTGCTCAACTCCTGAGACACCAGAGGGGGCACACAGGGGAGAAGCCCTATAAATGTGGGGAGTGTGCGAAGTGTTTTCTCACAGCAACACTGCTTCGGGTTCACGAGAGAACCCACACGGGGGAGAAGCCGTACAAATGCAGGGAGTGTGGGAAATGCTTTTCCCGAAAAGACCA